AAGTTTCGTCATTTTATTAAATAGAAAGGGACACATAATGTACCCTTGTCGCACCCCTGATGGTCATGCCCCTGATGTTACTGGGATTGTTTAGAGGTGTTCGCTATATTGGAGAATCCAGGTCCAACTCATAGATAACAAAGCAATATCATTATGAAATGAATCGTTGGTTTGGGAACTCCTTTCTGCATCTGACAAATGGGGATATCAACGTACTACGGTGTGCAATGAAGGATCTTCATTTTATAAAAAAATTTCCAACTGTCCTGGCTCTAAAAATGAAGACGAAGTAAGGAATCGTCTGTATATCCAAAATATGTTGGCCATTAAACGAGACAGTATTGTTATAGACCTATTCAATGAAATGTTTCATGCATTGAGACGCAAAATAATTGAATCGTAGGATAGTTCTATATGGGTCACTGACCGAGTTCCTCGATCAAAACAACATCAAGCCATGATATGTCTATGTAATTTCATCATATAACTTTTAGTTTACAATCAAAACATGAATTTAAACACGTTTCAAATTTGATGTTGATTTCATCATCAGTTTAAAACTGGGGAATTGACTTAGTAAACATATTTACAATTGACTTATTACTGAGTATTGCATCATATGTTAAACGTGTCGATTCAGGACAGGACCAGATAAAGCCTGACTGTTGGCTGTATGAAATAAGAGACTTATTTGATGAATGAATAAAAGATAGACAGAATAACTGAATAAAGATACAAATGAAAAAAATGAATGAAAATTTGTCGGTATATAGGTTCGGTTGTCATATACACTCATATAAACATCAAAGAAACAGCAACTCATATTTGACCTATTTCTAGTTTATGTAAACCATAAACGTAAACACAAAGATCTACCTACGCACATCGCTACGTCATTATTTGTTACTAAATATAAAACGGGGAACACCTTTTTTCAAGCTTATACAATAACGGAATTCCGATACTTACTGCATGTATATTGCAATGCAAGGGATGAATCATTCAGTCGGCATTCCTATGTATTTACTAATCTAAACTTTCGAAAATATACTTAGACGGTTTACGAATTTGAATCTATATTTAGAAGGGAGAAAAAATTATAGACGACCTGGGGGGAAAAATCAGAACATTTGATCGTTTTATACCAAGAAACCACGAGGGGCTTCTCTTTATACTATTAAGCGAGTTGGAGGAAACATCAACAATATTAGTATCGTTTCAAACCAAGATACCACGAGGGACTTCTTTTCATATACAGGTACGCAATAAATAACTTTTGCGTCTTTCAGTCAAAATATTTCACATTGTGAGTATGCTAATATTTCAGTATTTCGCGATATACTGCAATACTGCAATGCTTTAAACTGAGTCGTATATAGGCACTTTCACACCTTTCTTCGTTTCTATATTGATAGCCTTAAAAACTTTCAAACAAAGAAAGTTAACGCTTCAGAATCAACACACTCTGAAATGTTACTTATTTTGTGAAAAACAGCAGAAAATAAATGTGTTTGGTACGAAATTCGTTGGCTACAAATAAGCATTAAGGTTTTGATATAAATTCAAATTCGTACTATATTTGTTAATATCAACCAAAAAAGAGTCAATATCCTTTGAAAAAAAATCAACAAATATGTTAAAATACATTCAAGTCATAAAACTTGTTACGTTCTTATTTCGAGCAAACGGGGAGGAATTGGGATGTAACAACCTCGACGATTTAGCACCCCTCCTAACATTTCGCAGTAGAAGATCAAGGTCTCTATTTTCGAAAGTGGTAAAAACAGAAAGATATAACACGTTGAACATGAAATGGAAATTAAAAAATCCGCTTAGGTTGATCGCCTTATAATAATATGTAATAAGTAATTCTCGTTTCCTAATTAATACATTTCCTAATTAGTTTAATAATCGTCTTAATCCTACAGAGAAAATGAAGGATTATGTCATGTATAGTTCATACTTCATATATTTTTTCTTGTTCTTTGTATGTTGGTTGAAATTCGAAGAAAGGGGAGGGGTGGAGAGGGTGTATTTGTTACCAAGTCGGTCATATCAGTTGACATCTTTATCAAGATCGTACGATGTCAGTTGATGTATCAGTTGACATCTTTATCAAGATCGTACGATGTCAGTTGACATCTTTATCTAGGCAGTACGATGTCAGTCGACATATCAGTTGACATCTTTATCAAGGCCTTACTATTCCATTTGATATGTCAGTTGCCATCTTTATCAAAGTAGTACGATGTCAGATGACATATTTATCAAGGCCGTACGATGTATGTTGATATCCCAGTTGACATATTTATCAAGCTCATGCGATATCATTCGACATATTTATCAAGGCCGTACAATGTCAGATGACATCTTTATCAAACCCGTACGATGTCAGATGACATCTTTATCAAGCCCTTGCGATGTCAGATGACATCTTTATCAAGCCCTTGCGATGTCATTCGACCTATTTATCAAGCCGTTCGATGTCAGATGACATCTGTATCAAGGCCGCACAATGTCAGTCGACATCTTTGTCAATGCCGTACAATCTCAGTCGACATCTTTTTCAAGGATGTACGATATAATGGCCGTACGATGTAAGTCGATATCTCAGTTGACATCTTTATCAAAGTCGTACGATGTCAGATGGCATCTTTATCCAGGCTGTAAGATGTCTTGATTTCGTATTTTTTCTGTTTTTTTTTCTTAATATATTTATATCCAATTTTTATTCTTTCTAATCATTATTTTTTTTAATTAATTTTCGAAATGAGAGTTTTATTTGATATCCTTCTTATTACCTTTTTTGTTTGTTCATTTTCAACATTATTTTACTCTTCCTTTTATAATTCAAAATCTATTTTAATTTATTTTCTATTATGTTTTTATACAATCTGCATCCATATTCGACTTTACGAGTTCAATAATACTTTCAGCAAAAAAAATTCAAACTATCTTATTCAAAAACAAATATTCTTATGAAACTTATTCATTACTTTTATAACATTTAATAATACCAGTTCATTTTTTAATGGCGTATTTTTGAATCCAAACTCAATTTCAATAACATTTTCCGCAAAAAAAAAAATTAAAACAAAATAAGTGCAATATCCTTCAAAATTTTACTTTTAATAATTTCTTTGTTTCAATTTAGTTTCTTTGTTTTCACATTTTTTAAACAAAAGATTTTATAAACCGCCTTTTTCTAATTTTTTCTTTGTTCTTTTAAAACTTTTCTGCATAAAATGACGGTCCCAGCCGGAGTTGAAATTTTAACAAAGGAACAAATTTTATAAAGTTCTTTGTATGAATGCAATAGGAAACGACATTCGGGATCAAAATCGTGAATGGATGTATGAATTTTCGCTCATTGTTTCTGCATTAATTTATTGGTAGTTCTTTTGTTTTTATGTGACTCATACCGAATTGTGTTTACGGTATACAAAACGTTTCGTTTCGTCACATATTAAGTTTTGTTTATTTCCTTTCCCATGTGAACAAAGGGTTTGTTTTGGACAAAACCAAAACATTACGTCACCGGAAGGGTTTCCCAACATAACGCATGTTCATTGGTTGAGACTTAGCAACGCCACGCCCAAAAATGCCCCGGGACAAAGAAATCGTCATCGATTGCCTTATTTAGAAAATTGGGTCAAGCCTGGGGAAAGCTCTCGAAAGTGGAATCTCCCCCACGTCAGAGGGTCACGTGACTTCGAAAACCACTAATCAGCTCATCCCACCTCGCGCACCATTTTGCTTCATTCAGGAAATATAACGATCAAATAGTCCCCGAATTCCTTCAGATGTGCAGGATTAGTGCGGATTTATAGATTAAAAACAAATCCTAATCCGTGACGACTGTGAGCCTTATATAAAGTTTTACGTTTTGTTTTTGCAGAATTCGTCTAAGGTGTGCAATCGGTCGAACAGCGCAGTTTGTCAAGCGGAAGGATAACGGTGAAAAGTGTCTCCATTTTAACATAACGGCGTAATTACACATCACCTCACAATGGCGACTGCTAAGGGTTTCGGTTGTGCTTCACAGTGTTAGAAAGGGGAGGGAGGACGAATTAGGCCCTTCCCAGGCAAGATAGAGAGACTTACAGACGTCTGAAAGATCCGAGAAACCGAACAGTCAACTGGAAAAGTGATCCGATCAAGAATTTCTGGAATATTTGGAACTCAAGTGGAAGTTAACCGACGACGAAGTTGAACTCGATCGCCGGTGACTCAAGTAACGGTAAAGATTTCATAAGCAGCAGATCGTGTGAGGGTGGTTTCAACACATAGTGAAATTAAATATCTTACGATTTCACATTAAAGACTCAACTTCATCGAACCTGGGAATAGGCAGCCTTTATTCTGACCAGTTTATGTTTAACGGACTACGAATTTGGGCTAACGGTATCATTTTAGTTTAAAAGAAGAACGCACTTCTTTTTATGGAACATATGACGCAGAAATATTTTTGAGCGTCTTTTACTTTCATTTTTCATTCAACTGTGATTTTATTTCTTTGAACTGAGGTGCTAAGAAACGACTTCTGTGGACCATATTTAATATTTTAATATTAGTGCTTTCTTTTTGTGATTTTGTTTAAGAACAAATCACAATTTATTTTGACATTCCTTGTTTCCTTGTGTGAACGTTTTATTGTTTGAAGTTTGCCGCTCAACACACGTGTGTATTCAACGCATAAACAAAGAAGGAACTTTGATTACTTTGGCGCCAGAGGATACTTCCTTAGTGCCAGGAATTGCTGAAAAATCTTTGAAAATAAATCTGGAGTCACAACTTTAGGAGAAAAAAGTTGGGTTTGGTGTTTACTTTATAATCTTTCATGAGTTTGATACGTCCCAGGCCTTCAAGGCAGCTCATTTTGAACAATGGGCACAGAAAGAAGTTTCTCAATGAACCATTATCTAGGACGAATTCAGGTAACTTGAGTCCAGATCTTCAACCAAACACTCCTCCAGTGTTTCCCAAACCTTGTGAACAAGATGTGTTATCAATTGGAAAGTATTTATTATATGATCAGAGCCAGTCAGTAACCCCTAATGACAAATGTGAGATTTATACAGCAGTGGACATATCTACCAACTTAGAGTATATTTGTAAGGTGAGTTATTGAGTCTTTGGTGTTTTTTTTTTTTTTTTTTTAAGTATTTAGCTTTTTTCCCCAATCCCTAATTAGTTAATCTTTCAGGTATTGCTTGATGTTCAACTGTTTCCCAATCCTCTCCTGATTCATTATTAGACCTTCCTGATATTTAATCTATTCAGAACCATCCTTGGGCTTGATGACCCTTATTGATTGAGACCCATTTACAGAGATTATCTGACTGAAGTGAGGTGTAACATCCTACTTTTCTCATCCTGGTTGGGATTGAAGAGTATCATAGAAGTTCTCCATCACTATACACTTAGCTCATTTGACACAACTTTTTTTGGTGGTACTGGTACTCTGGACCAATTTTTGGAACTCTTTTGAACACTTGTGAAACCTTTTTTTAGATGACTGTAAAAACTTTTCTGAATAGGATGCCAAAAAACTAGCTAACAGCCAAAAAGAACTATCAAACCTCTTGCTTGGTCCATATATTGGCTAGCCACCAGTCATTCAGTGTATTGCAGTTGAGAGGGCTTTGTTTACATTTCTAACAAGGGAAAGGGGGGTTTTCCATCCACGTGGTGACTGAATACTCTCAAGGCTCTTTGTTACAAGGACAACAAAGCCCTGGACCGGGCCAGATATTGATCACTGACATTGTCTAATTGCAGATTGCAGCCATGTTAATTTAATTAACAAAGACTAACAAAGGCTTTTAATGAAGAACAAAGCAAATCATTAACCCCCTAATATTTGATATGCTGTATTGTTGCATCCATCCAGGCTTTATGAGGCAATATGGGCAATTTGCACCTTGTTATATTGCTGCTCCTGTAGCAAGACTGTTGATTGGTTTTCTCACCTGTGATCAATACTTTTATTGGGTATCATGCTTTGTCTTGAGGAACAAAGAAATGGTGCAAAAAGTTCCAGAATTTCTTTTTTTGTTTGTGACTTTAATTTAAGAAGTGTGGAATATTTCTCAAAATTTTTGGATAGAAAAGTTTTTTTTGTATCTAGTTTTTTTTTTTTTTCCGAAAAGACAACTCAGCTGATGACTATTGTAAAATATTTTTTTTGTGATCACGAAATAAAAAAAGGAAATGGGTTTCATAATATGACTAAACCTTTTGTATTGTCCTTTAAAACAATGGGGACATTAAGTAAGATATTACTCATATACATGACTTCTGACTACAAAGACAATATTGTCCTACTTTTTACTACTATGTTTTAAGGCCTACTTTCCGTTTAGTTATTACACAATATCAAATGATGAGTTATGATGATAAGTAATGTCTAGTCATTGAGTTACTGACAGGGTCCCATGGGGTTGAATCACAAAAAGCACTAGCCATGGCATCAGGACTTCATATCTTTCATCAGCTTATGAAATTTCATATGAATTGAAGCTGATCCTGAGAACGACATACTTTTTAAGTCTTTTGAAATAACTGTGAAATCTTATAGCTTTTCTTTGAAATACCAGTGAAATCTTCAACCTTTATCCTTGACATTTCAATGAAATGTTCAACTTTTGCCTTTTGTATTCTAATTCAATATGTGAAAATTTTTTTCGATGTCTTAAAATTTCTAAATCTTTTTTAATGCTTTCATCTAACTTCATTTAGAATTAAGTTTTTTAATGAAATTATTTAATTGGTTTCTCCTAATTTGCTTGATCATCCATTATATGATGATGACTCGTCAATTTTTGCATCATAGCTTGAAATATTATTTTGCTGATATCATCCAATAGTCTGACCACATTTTTAAAAAAGCTTTTATCATACCTCTGCTGAAGTATGCTACCACAAATAGATAGTCACAAGATATTTGACCTTTTTATCTTCCATAATTTGGGTGACCTTTTGGCTAAATTTAACTATTAGCAAGCTGAATAAGTCATGAATTTTTTTGGCCTGTGTTTTATTCCAAGTTTGCTTTGGCATGAATTACTAGACATGGCTCACATGTGCAATGGAAGTAAGCTCGTTGAACAGGATTGAACAAGACTTCTAACTCTCACTCCCAATATTCTTTACAATGAATGGTCACATATGGTCAGCTTTGATGGATAGATTGTCTAAGGCATGTCCAAGCTTGACCACATCAGACAACAAAGGATAGTGACATGATATTGGCTCATTATTGTCAAATGGCCTCATTAAATTTCATGATTAATAATAAATCATTATAGAAAATTATGGTAATTTGGAGACACAAAATTTGATATAGGAAGACTGCAATATGCAAATCATTGCAGAGAACTCCAGTAATTAGAATATATGTGCATAATAATTATTAAAATTTGAATGTGGGTTTTAAATGTTTTAAAGGTTTTAAAATACAAGATTAATCCTAAGTAATTTGCATATAATTAATATGCACATAATCAAGTATGAGATAGAATTGAATGTGTATTACGAGTTAGTTTCTTATGATATTGATTAGTCATAAACAACTAAACTAATTAGCATATATATATAATTTAATATGCGCATATTAATGAGCTCCTCCTTTGTTATCATTTCAGGTGTTTCCAATCAAGACATACAGGGAAGATTTATCTCCGTATTGGCAAGTGGACGACCATAAAAATATTACAAACATTTTGGAAATCATTTTAGGAGAAACCAAAGCTTATGTTTTCTTTGAGAAACATGTATCAGACCTCCATTCCTACGTCCGACACAAAAAACGCTTGAGGGAAGAGGAGGCAGCGAGACTTTTTGCTCAAATTGTGGCGGCAGTTCAACAGTGTCATGAAAATGGACTTATTCTTAGGGATCTTAAATTACGAAAATTTGTATTCACTGACAAGGAAAGGTGTGTATGAGTTTTATTATTAATTTTTGGGAGTTAACCTACCTTTTAATAGGTACTGAAAATCTGAGACAGATAAATGCCAAGAGGTTTGGACAACGATCATCTTGAATGGAACTATTTTCAAATGGATACTTTATAAACTTGGAAAAAGGATATTAATATTGAAAAAGCTCAAACTCTGCTAGCCCGATGTATAGTTTGTCTACAATATAAACGTTTTGACATTAAATGAATTGAGCTCTTTAACCTGGTAATGCAAATATTTAGGAATTTTTATCCCTTAAGAGATTAACTAACAGAAACAAATTTGCAAAAAAACTGGACAAATGATTACTTGCACCAAATCATTCGAAAATATTCAAACTTCCAATGTTTAATCTGATTAGAAACTCAATGCATTCTTGCTCAAGAAAAATTTGAATTAATTCTAAAAATAATTTCAAACTTTCTCAAGAATTCGTTAAGGTTGTTGTGGGAGGGCGTTTGTTTGAGCTAGAGTGTATTTAGAAACAATAACAGATCGTAACTTTGTCAAAGTTTTCATGTTTATTTTGTCTTCCCGTTAAAACATTGGCCCTGGTTTCCTCTTGATTGTTGCACACAAATAGGAAGATTTGAATCTACTAGATAAAAACTTAAAAGAATTTATTTCTCACACCAATTATCTTGGGGAAAATTAACTGTTGCTTTGTATTTTATTCAGGCTGTCCTAACAAATTATTTCTACTGTATTTCATCTAGGTGACTCATGATTTTATTTTCCTTATATATCACCTTAATTGCCTTTCGAAAAAAAATATTTGAACAAAACTAAGTAAAAGTCAAGTGAAAAGTCATTTTTTGAGTAAATAAATACCAGCGCTATCAAAAAACAGATCTGCCCTTTTTGTAGCCTACAAGGTGAACTACTTGGTCCTTGCTTGTTCTTGTAGTGTACAAATGAATAACAAATATCTATTCTATTTTCACTTGTAATCAATTCTACTGAAGATTGATATTTCTTACTATTCATTGGTCCAAATTCGAAGAAGTATGTCAATTCTTTGAACATCACAAAGCACACACAATTTTTTACTTAACCAAATTCAAATTGATGATTCTTATTATTATGATAATAATCTTATACAAGCTTACAAAATAAGTCTTACTGGATGAATTGTTCTGATCAGCTATAAGTACTTTTGATCTTATAAGACCCATTCATAAACTAGGTGAAAAAAATATATTTGATATGTCATCTTGCATAAGCAAGTAGGAATTCAGTCAAAATTACAAATCGATAAAAATAGACATAAGCCATTGAGTCTAGGCTATCAAAGAAATTGTTATAAACTAACATAGATAAAATATTTATCTCCCTTATTTGATGTTTACATCGTTAACATTCCTTACCGCTCCCACGACTTCAATCTATTTATAGAAACAGTCAGCAATAGTAAGCAGATAGATATAGCCTGAGAAAATCAATATCTACCTTTTTCCAAGAGATTAATATTATCTGTGTCCTTGAAAATATATCAATCTCATTGTACACGGCATTGTGTTGCCAATCTTCATTGAGCCCAAACTGGAGCAAAAAAGCAATGGGTGAAGAGAGTTAATGTTGCAGTCCTGGCAAAATATTTCATTTTCACTGCATTGTGTTGCCAATCTTCATGAGCCCATACTGGAGCAAAAACGCCAGATAATCTTTTGTCAGAGAAGAATAGGCAAAGAGTTCAAAATTTCTCATATAAAAAAACTTAATAATTAATGCACTGAAACTTATGTCATATTATTTCTATCTTTTCAGAACAAAGTTAAAATTGGACAGTTTAGAAGACGCAACAGTGCTGGATAACGAAGACAACGATCTTATGTCTGATAAACACGGTTGTCCAGCCTACGTCAGTCCAGAGATTCTAAGTGCTATTGGGACATATTCTGGTAAAGCTGCAGACTGCTGGAGTCTAGGAGTCATGCTGTACACTATGCTTATTGGACGTTATCCTTTTCATGATACTCAGCCAGCGGCATTATTTGGAAAAATTCGCCGCGGCCACTTTTCAATTCCGAACTCTCTGTCATCCAGGGCCAAGTGTTTGTTAAAAACTCTGCTCCGACGCGAACCTAGTGATAGACTGACGGCAGAACAAATCTTAGGACATCCTTGGTTCCGAAATTGTGCAAACAAATTCTCATGGAGATCAGACAAAAGTATGTCCGATCAACTGGTTCCAGAGTTTGATTTTCCAAAAGTGCTGGAGGATTAAAAGTGGTTATTAGGATAACAAATTGACTTCAAAAAATTTTATTTATTAAACAAGACTCCATCAGTATTGAACTTTAACAGAAGGTCGATTCATCCCTGGAATATAAAATTGAATAAGGAATATTGACTTTATGTTTTGGAATTTGGAAGGTCTAAAACGACGGGTAAAAACAATAGTTCTTGAAGACTACCACTCCAAGAAAATAACTTTAAAAAATATTGGGCTGAAAATGTGATATTTTACAGATTAACAGAAATGTCTCTGAATAAGCTATACAACCACATAGTATGTGTCTAAAGTTTTTTTTGTCCAAAACATTTAATTTATTCGTAAATTTAATATCTGAATTTTTTAGGGTTTGGTGTTTCTGATACATTGATGTCATTAAATATGCGCATATAATTACATCTATATTAGATACTGTAACCCTTGAATCAGATGAAATAATTATTTATTTCCGCTGTTATTTTATATGAAAAAAATTCAAGAAAATGGAAAAAATTTTCTAGAGTGTGTGTTTTGGTGTACGTGATGTCATTGTGTGTTTTTACAAAACAAAGCCCACATTGTGTGGCTTTAAATATATAAAATTCTATTTGGTATTTGTTGTTCATAGGAGAACATTAAAAAAGTAAACCTTTAGTTTGTCTTGAGAAAAGTTTCCATACTTTTTTTAATCTTTCACAAAATGAAAGATGTAAAAATGTAAAAATGAAAAAGCAATGAAAGAATTTGAATGTTTAGTATGTCAGTTTTGTTAAAATTTTGTTACGATATACAATACATCATTAAACAAATGTGTTATTTTAAACTTATTTAAAACAAAGCACTGACTTGAAAATGGCTTAAAGTTGCAACTTGACAAAACAAGTGCCCCATTTCATCCAAGGGTCAGTTTCTTTTGTCAAAGTGTCTCTTTAAATTTTTTCCCCTGTCAAGATTGTCCCTGAAAAAAAGATCTTTTCCTTAGAAATTCCATGGTTGGTTACCTCTGTAGACCAAAATTCTGAAAAGTGGTTGTGAGCTGTAATTTGGGCCGGTTTCAAAAATATTTCAGACTTTTTTTACAAAAGAAATCACAGTTGAATTAAAAATAATTTGAAGTTTTTCAAATTTAATTTTTCCAAATTTGAAAATTTTTGAAACACCATCCTCATATTTTGCAATAAAAAAATATAATTTGCATGTTGCCATTTTGAAATCTAATCCAGATCATTGAGTCCATTTTTAATCAAAATGGTTATAATCCAATGGACTAATTGATCTGGAATAATACAGTCTCCATCTGGTCCTAAACTTAAGCAAGGAGGGACTTGATGGTTGAGACTAAAATCATTCAATGTTAATTTATCATTACTGTCCTGTAGACTCTGTTTTCATGTCTCATCATTTGTCGTTAATTTTATTCCTATTGTTTATACTGGAATAAAGAAACTTTAAAAAATTATTAGATGCTTTTAATTGAAGTTGAACAGCATTTCGGGGGAAATGGGACAAGAGAAGACACTCCTATGGGATTATGCATAAGTAATATATCTTGGAAGTCCAAGGGAAAGGAGATCATGACATCCTACTTATCCAAACTGACCGAACAACACTGCTTCCCATACTAGGGCCTAGTTTGGCTCAAGGATGTCTCTGCTTTATACAAAGCACTAGTTCTCCATGTAATCTATTTACTAGAAAGACCAATTAGGACCTGTGTTATGGATCGTCTGATTATCTACAAAACGTACTTTGAGCATAGTGCTATACAGTTGATATGATACAAACGACCAATGCCGTCAAAAAATAAAAAAACAAGTGCGCATTATACACGGAAGTATACAGTATATGCCTATAAGATCCTAGCAGCTTTGAACTTAAAGGTATTAAGGACAAAAGCTGTCCGATACTCCTTCATTATTTTATCGAAAGGTGTGTCCTGAAAACTAGCACCTATTGAACCCACGGAGTGGCCAATGCCCCACCTTTTTTTAGATACATTCATATGGCCCAACCCCAGTCAACCTTGGCTCTGTATCAAAGATTCCCGTATCAATTATGGAGGAAGGCAAAGGATAGTTCTTTTCCGTTTTTTTTAAGATAGTAATGTGAACTATTTCTTATCCCATTGAAGAGTTATTTTTTCTCACAGACAATACTATACGATATTGTTAAAACAATATGTAGATTCGTTTGAAATCCCCCAAATTGCGAAAACAGTGGCACAGCTGGTAGGAAAGAGGGAAGAAGTTCTTTACTGTTAGTCTATTCATTAACGGGATAGGGAACTGGATTGGGGAACTGGACAAATAACAGGATTAAGAACCACTATTGAGAAACTGGCCAGGTAGTAGGATTGAGCAACAGGACTATAAGTTATAACCTGGGACCACCTTTTGGACACTGGCGAGATATAGCCTGGTCGAGGAACAGGATTATAGACCCGGATTGGGGAACAGGAAAAGGAAACCGGAGTGAGAAATATCTCTAAAGAGTCTATAAAATATGGGAAATTCTTCAGTAAGGTCCATAGAAAATCAAACTCTTGCGAAATGATTCACAACACAAGGAAAAGTATTCGAACGCGGATGTCATACTGGATAACGAAAGAGGAACTAACGTATAAGGACCTTGTATAACATTGTGTAACGTGTCCTATATAACACATGATCACGACAGTATAACTAATCGAATGCGCTATGACAAAAATCACGTCAAAGAAAATGACTTTAGCCTACTTACGAATTTAATGACTTATGCTTGGGTCAAAGTTTGATTCTTTATGCAGAGATCAAGAGTGTCCCCCTTTGTGGATAATAGTTCGTTCTTCAGAGCACCAGATGCATCTCTACTAGCAACAAGAAGGTACCCGCTAATAGACAAGCGATCGACCTCGAGCTCTACGACTAGGTTCGTCAACATCCTCAAATAGATAGACCTTGGAACATAATATTTCCAAAAGATGGAATGTCAACTCTTTCAGAGCACCTGCTGCATGTCTGGAAATTGAGCCCAGCACAGTTCTAGCAACTGGGACACCCCGTGTCTTATGGGTTTAGTGGTAAGGTATAAGAATCAGCAAGCGTTTTGGACTGGATATTATATAGCAGGGGTTTTCAACCTGAGGGTAATTATCCCGAAATATTCGGGGGTAATGAGGCGATATGTAGTCTCAAATAAAATTTGAAGACTATTTCAATCGGGAAGGTAATTATGCAATCGATCAAGGATCGTTGAAGGGCAATAATAAGAAAAAGGTTGAAAATCTCTGCTATATAGTAAGTAATGAGAAATGAACAGTGAAACGGCAACACTTTGTCAATTCTTGAAAAACTATTTATTAATAGAAAAGATAAAAATGTAATTTCCGTTATGTTATTACATATTACCGGAAGTGGTTATATTGGAACAGGATTTTAGTGTACTATCGTCTCTAAATTTAGATTCATATCCATTTAAAGATAGACAATTAATTGGATTGCAGAGTTTCGTACTAATTTATGTCTATTTTTAACATTTTTCAGCATGTTTGTGGACTCGGTAATTATAATTTAAAACCCACTAGAAGGATAAATAACGTGTGAAGATTTTCGACCTAATTTTAGTCTATTTTTAATATTTTTTAGCAAGTTCTACAATTATTATGTAAAACCCACTTGAAACATACATAAAATGTAGGGCTTTAAATCCGGAATTTTTTCTTAAAAAGATGATTTATTTGTGGAAGCCAGTAAACGTATAAAGGAAGAAGACGAAGATGACAAGGTGTTTTTATGTTTTTTTTCATTTTGCTTGAATTTCATCAACACCTGATGCTAATGTTAAAGACATCAACAGAAGAAGCAATGCTCTTACTAAATTTTTCGCAATTCTAATTAATAGGTCAAAGGTCATGGGCATCATTGGAGTTTTACGCCAGCCACATTTAACAAATCTTGTTAACATCCAAAGTAGCTTTGATACTGTCAAAACATCGACACAAATGCCTAATTTTTTCGGTCATCAAATGCCCTATAGAAGCACTACCCATGAAATTATAAATTCATCTCTCAAGGGGTTTGTAAGGTTTCTAGTGTAAGATATCGTCTAAAGGTGAGAAAACATATCTTATTGGTCTTCGATATGTTGTAATAAAGAAGATATTTCGCAATGATAATGAGCACGGCGTCTTTAAAGTTAAATTATTGCTTTAGATATCGAGATCCGTATTTTATTTCTTGAAAAAAAAGAACACTCATGAAGCTGATAATCTCCTGTAAACAACTGTTAATTCAATCATATCAACTTCCGTGATTTTCCCGCTAATTTGATTCAATTGCGAAATTCTAACAGCTAGGAGCTATAATGGTAGTTTCCAAGGAAATCGCTATTGACGTCATAGATTGTACACTAAGTGGCCGAGGGCACACTTTTGCAATGAGTCTAAATGTTCGAGGCCAATCTTCAAGGAAGCTTATGAGCAAAATCAAAGTAGTAAACAATAAAGGAATACAAGGTTGGCTTATCAATCGTCAAAGACGTAAAAAATATCACCAATGGCTCTGCTTGAAGGACGTCTCTAATGCTAAGGGCTCCTGCATTCTGTAACAAGGTTTTAGACGTTAGGACTATAAATGGAGAAGGCCAACTTAGAACTGTTTGGATATGAAAAATCAAAGGGAAGCTTGTAATGTGCCTGACTACTAAGTCTGCTAGCCTGGCGGTCTCATTCGCACCCTTTCTTGAACAAACCAACAAAAAACCAAAAGAAGCAAGAAATCTAGGTCACCTTGGAATAAACGACTGGGCTATAAGTATATATCTACAGGTCAACCGGCACTGGGCTAGCTGCTGCAGGTAAAAAATAGTAGAAATGCCCCATAATCTGCTAGCCTGACAGTCTCATTCACATCCTTTCTTGAACAAACCAACAAAAAACAAAGGAAGCAAGAAATTTTTACGGTCACCTTGGTCCAGGTCGCATGGATATAACGATATATTTATTTATAACTACAGGTCGTCCAGCACTGTGTTAG